GTATATATTATTGTAGATAGATATATTTATTTATATATATATATTTATTTGTAGATATATATGTATGTGTGTATATATATATATTATGTATGTTTATGTATATATATATATATATGTGTGTGTGTTGGAACCTATTATGTATGATTTGTTTGTGTGTGTGTGTGGGGTATGGAAACTTTGGTATATCATGACTGTTTTTTTTTTATATATATATATGTATGTGTATAAAAGTCTATGTGTATATATGTGTGTGTATTTAGGTTTATATGTATATGTGTACATGTGTACTTGTTATCATAGATATGTATATGTACGTATATGTTTATGTTTATATATTTATTTGTATGTATTTCTGTATGTATATATATGTATATATATATATATTATATATATTTATTTTTTTTTTTTTTTTATGTTATATATATATATATATATATATATATATATATATATATATATATATATATATCTGTGGATTTCTTTATCCTGTTTTTTCTTTTGCCTAATATATAATGAAACTATTATCAACTTATATGATTAATAATATATATTTTTTATTGATATTTATGGTTTTAGAATTTTCGTTTTAATATATTAAATAATATTATTTTTAACATTTTTATCTTTGTATATTTGCTCCCTTAAGTTATAATTCAATAAGTGGTTAGCATTTATTTAAGTCTGTCTTAAATATTTATTGGTTGTGATTTCTCATTGTCTGTCATTGTCTGTGGATGTATGTATGTGTATATATATCGGTGTCTATGTGTATGTAGAGTGTATTCACATTTAACTGTGTGTGTGTATAAGTGTTAGTTTCCACGTCTCCTTTTTTTTTTTAAAAAGGCTGTAGAGATGTTCATGTTTTCCCCCCTCCTCCTTTTTTTTTTTTTTTTTTTTTTTTTGTGTGTGTGTGTGTGTGTGTGTGTGTGTGTGTGTGTGTATATGTGTGTGTGTGTGTATATCTAATTATGTCTGGATGCTTATGTATTATAATCTGATTGTGTTTTTGTTGTTTTGACGCGTGAGTTTAAGACCATATTCACAAACTTTAAAATAAAAAAAAAAAGAAAGGGAAAAAATAAAATATATATATACATGTATTGTCAAATGACCGGATATATTGTAGCGTCTTGTCTTGTCGAACGTAATTTCAATGAAGAAATGAATTGAATAAACATATATATTTTTTTTTTTCTCAATAATTTTGTAGTTTTTAAACTTAATAGTGATTAAATTTGGATTTTTAAATTGCCAGTTTTTAATTTTAATATTAAATTTTATCATATAATTTTATAATTATTAGTTAGTATAAATTATTTTTAATATTACACGTATTTAAAGATCTGAATAGCTATTATAGCATGATTTCGTTGTCAAGCTTTTGAATCTTTCTATACTTCGTTTTTGATTGGTTATTCTAGCTTTTGTAACAATGTTTCCCCCTAGTGTAGGATCGTTAATTAATCTGAAACTTTTAAAACCATTTATTTTATTTTCAACATCATCACTTGATAAGACACAGAGTGTGTTGAAACAAAATGGCTATTTTTTGTAGTGATTTTATAACATACTTATGTTATAATTTTTTTTAAATGCCTTGAATATATTATAATTAAATTTTTCATATTCAAAATTTCAATCTCATCTAATATCCTTTTCAAAAATGAATTTATCGTAAGAATCAAAAATTTTTTTGATTTTTGTAAATTGTTAAATCGAATAAATGTTAATTCAAAATTGTACCTATTTAGGTCACTATATTTTTTAACAGGATATATATATATATATATATATATATATATATATATATATATATATATACATAACATGAATTTAAGCGAGTTATAAAAGCCCATCTCAATTAACACTGTCACTATCAAAACGTTTAAATGTAACCAAAAAATTCTACTCAGACAAAACTTCAGTTACTGATTGTTATCGTAAAATTGCCTCCCCCGAAGACTATAATCTTCACATTTTCAAGTAATTATGCCAATCGACATCTGAATCCTTAAGCTTGTTCCATGTCCTTCTATGTATCTTTTCCTAAACATGCCTCTTAACTTTGCTTTCATTGTTCTCTGTCCTTTTAACATCCTGTGTGCTGGTGACATCTGCCTTGCAATTAACATATTTTTTTATTTATATATATATATATATATATATATATATATATATATATATATATATATATATATAATTTATTGAACTAATTGTAATCCGTAATCCCTTTTAATGTATATTATACCCTAGGAGGATGATATCCAGAGAGCTCAGTGTAAATTCAAAATAATAAATTTGATTAAAAACAGACCACTTTAAGAAGGTTCCAATGTTCAAAAAAGTAATTTCTATTTACCATATTTTTTTATTTCAAATTTAATTTTAAACTTTAAAAAATGATGATCCAAATTTTTCACTTGAAAGTTGCTTTGGTGAAATAATTTATTACATAGAACCTTAATTTTCTTTTAATTTTTTTAAATTATATATAATATATATATATATATATATATATATATATATATATATATATATATATATATTATATTTTTAAAAGCAATTTTCATTGATGCATGTTTCATTAAATAATATAGACATGTTTTATTTGAAATTTCAAAATTCCTTTCATATTGTCTATCATATTATTATAAAATTGTCTTTGAAAAAAAAAAAGAAAATATCATTTTATATTGTTGATAAAAAATTTTAAAATTAAATTGGATTTTGGAATGTTATCAAATGGTTTCAATATAAATCAAATTTAAAAACATGTCGGTTTAATTAGGATACCGCATTCGGTGAGCAAGGAGAAATAAGAAGCTGTTCCCAGTGCTAGAGAGACCTCTTAGTAAAGTTTTCCTCAAATTGCGACTCTGTCCATTGACGGATAAATGGAATGTCAACCGTGTCAACTATTTCAACTTTACTCCTTGAAATCCATAAATCAAACATATCATAACATCTTGTAATCAGGCCGACTTATGAGCAAATTGAGAAAAAAAATGCAATTCGGATCCAAATCCGCGATCATGACATTTGTAAATAAAAAGTTTTCATTATTAAGATTTTTCATAAATTTGCTGCCAAGAAATCTTTTTTGTACGATAACATTTTATATATATTGGGATATAGTTATAATTTTTATTGCAAAAATCCATCGAAATTCAAAAATAAAAATAAAAATAATTGTTTGTACGGAAAGTAAAAAACCAAAACATCAAAAATGTCTTTAAATTAAGTGCCGACGGAAGAATTATCGTTGAACTGTTGAAAAGAACGATTAAATATAAATGCAATATTTAAATGCAGTGATCAATTTTGAGTCCTGTAGTTTATTGCTGCCTATCGCATCTACTTTAGAACCTATTGTGATGAAAATATCAAAATTTCCTCCATTCAGAATTTTTTCTCTAAATATCGCCTGATAAAATTAGATAGATTTTTTATTTTTATTTAGTCTATATATATATATATATATATATATATATATATATATATATATGTGTGTGTGTGTGTGTGTGTGTGTATCAATATATATATATATATTATCATTTGAAAACGATATATAATCATGACACAATCATTGTATATATATATATATATATATATATATATATATATATATATATATATTCATACATGTTTCATTATATAATATAGACAAGCAAATGATATTTATTTCATACGAATCGCTAAATTTTTTTTCATAACGTCTGATAGGCTTAATAACATTATCAAAAGAACGAAGAAAGAAAATCAAGGCGGTTGATACATATTTTAATCCAATCTAAATGTTTTTATTTTAAGACATTATCAAATATTAACAATTACTGTACAATATATTAAGCAATACACGAAACAGAAGAATGTAGTGATAGTCTGTTTATGTTTATATGGAAGATTTCAATACAATAATACGTTGCGTTATAAAATACGCTGGTTGCGAAATCGCAACGTAGCTCATGACGTCATATACCACGCGACAGTGAAATATAAGAAGTATTTAAGCCGTTGGTATAAACCTTTGGCTTCATTTATCAATTTATAGGTTCTTAAAAATTGTATAAATTTCTTATTTCCTCCAGGTTTTTGCTTCCATATAACGTGACTTTTTAAAAAGAAATCAAATTCAACGCCAATCGCAATCTTCTGACTTTCTGAACCCCGGTGATTAATAGTCCTTTTCTCGATCATTCTCTTTAAAATCTTCTCTTTCTCTTTCACTCACTGTAACCACCAGCGTCCTAGTGACATTTTCCCCTTGCCGGGAGTGAATCGACAAAAGATATCACGGAACAGTTACGTTAAAACAGTGATAAATGAATTGGAACTGAGTTGCCAGGTCGAGATTGGTATAATTGCAGATTCTCTTTTGGATGTTTTCAAGAATCACTAGATACAGGAAATAAGCACCATACGTGATGGGTCGACAATATTTGATGCATGGACGAATGGTAGACTTATTTAGGCAAAAGGTAGATCCCGATTGTAAGAAAGAAGGGAAATAATTTCGAAAGGAAGGAATGAAGAATGAATCGAAAAATGGATCGAAACTAACATAGAAGGACGAATCTGAAAACAAGGACAAACAAAGGAAGGAAAGGAATCGCGGATAATAGAAAATATAAGAGTCACGAAGAAAGATGGACCAAAACAGATGTGGCATATAAATGCCTAAATCCAGCAATTCTCGTTAGAAGTAATAATTGCGATGTTTCTTCAGGCAAGCAAGGCGTTTGTAAATTTGACCTGTCAAAGTATGTTGTCTGCAAGTCATGGCGTTGCATTTCTTTGCCCTGTGTATATGAAGGCATAACTTTCTGTCGTTGATGACTTCGGTGTGAAACTAGAATAAACACTTGAGGTGGAAAGCTGCAAAATTGAATTTTGAAAGCGTTTAGGAATGCGGCGGTGGTAGTCGGGGTTTAATGTAAAGCGAACGGTAAACTGGGTGTGGTTGATGGCAAGAATAAGACTAATTAAATCATCTTTTGCTAAAGTCGTCTCTTAAACCTTTCTGCTATGAGTGTAGAGAATTGTTGATGGTGCTGCATGAAGAAGGGTGAAAAATGGATAGGGAAAGAGACAGGGTGAGATTGATAATGAGTAAGAACGGGAATAAAGATAGATAGAAGTAATATTGAATAGAAACGAAGAGATAATGGAGAAAGTAAAAAAAAATGACTATATGACATTATGTGGGGACTGAAGCAAAGAAATATGAAAAAAAAGGAAATAACAAAATAAATAAAGAAAGAAAAAAAGGAAGAAAGAGAAAAGAAAGAAAGCAAATCTAGTTATGAAAATAACCGGAATAGATTATAGAATGGATAAATAAACTGAAGAAGGATATTACGAAAGAAAGACGGAATGAAAGGAAGAGTAAAAAAAAAATAAAGACAAAAAACGGTAGGAAGTAAATGAAGAATGAAAAAAAAAGCAAGAAAGAAAGAAGAAGGCTAACAAAAAATAAGGAATGAATGAAAGTAATGAAATAAAGAAAAAAGAATGAAAGAGAGAATCAATGAACTAAAGAAGGAAATTATAATTGACGGAAAGATTAGAAGGAATATGAGAAAAATGAATTAAAGAATGAAAAAAGGAATGACGGAAGTAAATAAATAAATAAAGAAGGAAAATAAGAAAGAAAAATAAACCGAATGTAAGAAGCAATGAATGAAAGAAAGTAACGAAAAAAAAAATGAAAGCGATAATATATGAACTAAATTAGGAAACTATTAAAAGAAGAAGGAATGAATGTTAGAGTAAAAAGTAAACGAGAAAGTGCAGAAGAAATATTAATGAATGAATGAAAGAAAGAGAAACAGAAAAAAAGAAAACTGATGAAATGCGAAAGAAAACAGATAAAATGGTAGTGTATATGAACAAACAGATGCTAATGTACGAGAATAAAGACAGATGAAAAAAGACGATAACATTAAGTAATTGAAACTGGAGAAGAGAAAGCATGGAAAACAGAAAAAAAAAACAGAAAAAATATATAAAGACAATAGAGATTTCGACTGTTGAAAAATTTTATATTGGTATTACTAAGAATTCTTTAAAAATAGGTGATATCGACATATCTTATCCTTCACCAATAGTACTTATAAAAATAATACATCTTCTAAATATTTTTGGAATTTAAATGAAACTAATAAAACTCCTAAGGTAAAATGAAAATTTAAAAACAACGCTAGAACCTGTAGATGAGTAAATGAGCCTTGTTTTCTATGCTCACATTCAAAATTAGAAATTATCAGATTTTCTGAAAAAAAACTCCGTATGAAACCAAAGAAGTGAATTGAAAGCAAATTGTAGACATAGTCTACCGTTTACCTTACGATATGTTTAAACTTTGAATTTTATAATACTTTTTCTTCATGTGGCTTACTATTCTATTTGTAAGATATATCTTGATTTAATATAGCGCTATATTAATGTTTAGTTAGTATTATTAACATCCTATATGGATGTAGAGGTGTTTCGTTAGTATTATTAACATATTACATTGATTAGTAATTATTATTATTATCTTATATCGATCTCTTTATATAACGTTTGCGTATTAATTTGCATAAGTATTCTCTATTTTTATGTTTTTTTTTAAACGCTCATGTTATTTACCGGTATCTTAAAGAGGCCTTTTATTTATCAACTACAAAATTTCATGTAAGAAGCTAAACGAAGTTATAACTGATTAGTAGTGTGTTAAATTACCTCTTTATTACTTTAGCTTTTACTTATTAAGAAACTTGAAACCCTTCTATACATATTACGAAATAATGTAACCACTTGTAATTATCCATAAGGAAATAGTCTATTTATATGCAGACAACTTCGTGTCATGACTTACATTATAAAACATTTTTCGGTGAGTTTGAATTTGACATAGGTTACTTTCAATTGGTTAATCACGTCAAGGCGAGCAAGCCAATCTTTATTCTATTTTTCTCGAAATAAGAGGAAGAATTCTGCTTTTGAAATTAAATTAATCGTTCACTCACCAGTAGTTTAACATCGCCTGAGGAGACACATTTGTAGTGTTGAAACATAATTGTAATTGTTTAGCGATTTTAACACGTTTTTTTAAAACCCTAGAATATTATATATATATATATATATATATATATATATATATATATATATGTAGTCCGATCGATAAATTGTCGTCTTAATTACGCAAAAGTAAAAACAAAATTGACATCTCATCTTAACAGTAATATTTACAAAAATTTCAAAAACTATTTAGAAATACTAAAGAATAAATTTATTCAATAAAATTACTATTGTTTTCAACCATGGTCTGCATTTCTTCTGGTTTTTCCTCTTGTTGGTGAATGCTACCATAATCATTGTTTTCGGTCTATAATTGGTGTTACAAGGAGATTTGTTGGTTTCTATCTCAGTTGTACTATACACATAATATTCAATGGTGTTGCAAGTTAGGTGGCCGGATATAAGGTGTAATGTGGTCACATAAATTGCCTGACAGCCATGCTTATGTGGCAGGGTGGAGAGCCCTGTTGTAAGACATACGTTCATCCAGAAGCTATCCTCTTGACCTAACACTATTTCCTCAAGCTAACTGACGTAGGCCTCCGTGTTTAGTCTGAAGTCCGGTGAGAAGATGAGTGGAGACATAACATCGCCATCATTATTGATCACTCTAAACACCTTTATAATTACCGTTAGACTCATTGATCTCTTTTCGCATCCTCTACACTCTCCTCGTATTGACACACCAACACTGATATATACGGCGCTAATACTGGGCAACATGGCGTCCATTACCATTCGGCCGGGACGGGTATGTAAGAATCCTATTTGTCTGCTCATGATATGAATATCCTGCTATTGTTAAATGGATCACTTCTCCGTTAACGCACTACTAAACACGTTAAACGGTGAAGACAGACTAGCTACAAATGTACAAGAATGATAAATGTAACCCTGTCTAGACGCCAACAGAGCACCATCTACAAAATGTTCGTTAAACTTAATAACTCAAAAACGAAAGATTTGGGGCCATAAGTTTGTTCGGACTTTTGTCCTTGTTTTGGTGTCAGGAACCCAACTTCAAAAATTGTAAAAGCATTTTACATACAATATATATATATATATATATATATATATATATATATATATATATATATATAATTATCTTTATAAAAAAAAATTATAACATAAATATTTTATAAAATCAGTACAAAAATAGTATTCAACATCATCACTTGATAAGACACCGAGGGTGTTGAAACAAAATGGGTATTTTTGTAGTGATTTTATAACATATTTATGTTATAATTTTTTTTATATAAAAAATAATTATATCTGCTCTAATTTGTATTGAGCACTCTTTTAAGAATAGTAATTGTTGGTTATTGGAATTCATTCCGTATACACCAATTATATACTTGCATATATATATATATATATATATATATATATATATATATATATATATATATATATATATATATATATATATATATATATGTATTTAGGCAGATCATTATTTAGACATTAAATATAACAGAGAGGAATGTTTATAATGTCTGAACACGAGCAGTTCTAATTTTCGAATGTTTACTTCAATTTCTGGTGAAAATAAAGACAAAAATTGCCCAAAATTTAGATATAATGTAACCCGGATATAAGAGACCCTGATATAAGAGAAACCGGGATATAAGATAGATTTTCTCTGGTCCCAAATTAGAACCTGTGTTAATGTATATAAAATAGACCAAGCCCGGATATAAGAGAAAGCCGGATATAAGAGACTTCTTCTCCGGTCCCGACAACTCTCTTATATCCGGGTTATAATGTATTTTATTAAGTTGGTCCTAAGCTGTCTGCTCACGTGAGCCATCCCCACAGTGGTTATACAGACAGGAAACAAAGATATCCACCGTCAAAGTTAATATTCTCTTATTTTGACATAGAAAATTACTATGCAACGATAACGGTCGCGGAAAAGTAGACACTGATCGGGCGTTCAAGATGCGGTTTTCTGACGTCATACCACGCGATAGACCGAAGTATTAGACATGGGTTCTGTTGTGATACTTCGGTCTATCGCATGGTATGATCAGACGTAATAGACATTCATTGTCTGTTATATTTAATAATAATAATAATATATATATATATATATATATATATATAAAATAATTAAAACTAAAACAGGTAAAAGGTTACTCGCTTTGCTAAGTCATGTTTCCTTAATACCTTCGGGGCCCACTGAGAATCACTCCGTTCATTTTTTTACAAATATCCGCAAGTGATTGTTTATAATTCTAGATTTTTCTGGCTTATGTGCACTTTTTATTGGTGCCAGTTTTTTTCCCACAATGTATGTGTGCGCACGTCTTCACGTATGTGTGTACGTGTAGAATGCCATGGTTATTTGTCATTTTCGTCGTGTTTATTTTCTTTACACTTATTCCTTATTGGTGTTTTAACTTTTATTCTCTTTTACCTATTTTCTTTCAATTGTAGCAATTTTGAATTCCGGTTTTCTACACATATATTCTAGTCTCTAATCCTTGAGTGTGCCAGTATTTTCTTGTGTTAGGAAAACCGCTTCTTAATTTTTATACACACACACACACACACACACATATATATATATATATATATATATATTATATATATATATATATATATATATATATATATATATATGAAATGAACTCTCTCATTGTTTTATATGTATGCACGTCCAAACACATGTATCGCCAGTGATGCTTTACTTGTATTTGATACCTCCGCAGACATTTAAGACGCATATTCTAAGACCCACATACTCCAAAGAAGCAGCAGCCTTTGTAAATGACCATTCCTTCCAATGAACCTTACGATGGCCTACGTCTAACAAAAGACTTTCACACGCTGAGAAGAAGAGGATTCTGACAAACAGCTGTTTTGTTCTTTTCGGGGATCTTGAGGAATTTTTAGAGCATGACGCTTCCAAATTTCTGACGAAGTGAATTGCGGCATGGTGATAATTTTCTAAACTGACCCTCCTCCGTGCAGTCGACAAAAAGATAATCAAGACGCATGCGCGAATTTAAAAATATAAAACTGCGACAATTTACTCATTACGCACTTGAGTTCGCTAGGTCACTGGCGTGATTATTTAAAAAAAAAATACGAAAATTAGCCTTTCTCTAGCCTAGGTGTTAGAATTTCAATCTGATGAAAAATCGGTCAGGTTTCGATCCCGGCTTGAAGCGATCGGGTGCCTAGCCACACTGATGAGTTGTGATACAGTCCACACTGGATGAGTTATATATATATATATATATATATATATATATATGATATATATATATATATATATATATATATATATATATATATATATATATATATATATATAAATGTATTTAACGAAAATTCAAACGTCCATAGCATTAATTTAAAAAAAAATATATATGAATACAAAAGACCAATAGATATTTATTACCAATTCTTACATTGGAACATGCAAGTTACCACGAAAAATGCATATTTGTTTCAATGTCTAATTTGATATCTCATAAAGTATTTTCTAACATTGGTGGTAATATATATATATATATATATATATATATATATATATATATATATATATATATATATATATATATATATTATGAAATGGACAATGTCCGACAATTATTGATAATTGTTGGACTTTGTCCATTCATTATATTACGTTCATCTGTTTACATTTGGATACGCATTGAGCAAATATGAATGAATGAGAGAGAATCATGGAGAATTGTGTTTAAAAGCAGTAAAATCGGTTAAGTCAAGTTAGGGTACATGACGGTTACGTATTTGATACAGGTTCGATTCCTGGCGGAAGACGGATATTTTCAATGAAAATTTCTCGGACATGCAGGCCGGTAAATGTCGTTAATACGGTTTATTACAAACAGATTATTTACTGTTATATCTGTATCTATAGAAAATGTCTTAATATATATATATATGTGTGGTCATGTGTGACGTCATGAGATGCGGTGTGATTTTCGCTTCTAGCGTCTTTATATGCGCGTGTTTATCTTTGCTTAGAAATCATCTATGTAAACAATGACAGACTATCATCACTGTCTTGTCCGTATATTGCTCAATATGTTGTAATTGACATCTTTGATAATGGCTTAATTAAGCCGAAAGCTTAGATTGAATTAAAAAAAAATATGAATCAATATTGCGATTTTCTTTCTTCGTTCAACGATAATGTTATTAAACTTATCACGCGTTACGAAAAAAATGTACATAAAATAAACAGACAACACTTGTCTATTATTTAATATAAACGTGTGAATATATATATATATATATATATATATATATATATATATATATATATATATTCTTCAGAGAGAGAAAATTAGAGAGGGGAGAGAGAGAGCTAGAAAATCGCACGTGTATTTGAGCTCGAAATGGATAGTCCATAATACCTGTATTTACATTGTTTCTATCCAATTATATATTTTTGCCTTTACTCTGAAATACAAGTCATACTGTTCTTGACATGGCCGCTATATCCATTTGGCATTGGAAAATGATCTGTTCAAATAAGTCCAGAAAAACTATGCAGTCCGGTTTCATTTCTATTGTTAGTCTGCCATCTATCATTCTCGACATTTTCTTTATATCTTTTTTCTTATTTTCTTTTCTTTTATTTTTAATGTTTGGCCACGGCCCAGTAAAGCCTCAAGGCCGAAGTCTCGCGAGATTTACACACGCCTTCTTTACAGGGTTTAAGATCTCATAACAATAGGCACGATATTTTGCTGAATCGCGTCCAAACGCCGGACTAAATAAAAGAATCATCGGGTGATCTGGGTCAGTGACTACGGTTCGAGTGAAATTGATGGGAAAAGAAGGAAAAATAAAAAAGCGGAAAAAATGGAGAAATATGAAAAAGAAACTCCTTCATCTTATCCATTTTCTTGCCCCTTAAGCATGTTTTTTTTTTCTTTTTTTTTTTTGGCTTTGGGAGTGATTATTTTTCTTTTGCTAATATATTTACATTGGAACCCGCGCAGAGAAAAATGTTGTTGTCTGTATAAAAGAGGAGGTGGATAAATGCGCTTGCAGGCTAAGACGTAGATATTAGCTAAATTTTAATCTTTTAGAAAATTTGGTTTATTCGTTTGTATAAATATATATAAAAAATCTCTCTTGATGTTCACAAAAATACTCAAGATCAAATAGACGCATTCAGACAAATGAAGGCGCGTATATCGTAAGAAATAATCTCAATATATGGCTATATCTCTGAGATGAGGTATTATGATTAAAAATATAATATTTACGCTATTCAGAAAAAAATTTTATCTTTATCTTCATTTTAATATTCACAACGTTTCTGCCGTTACCACCGTTGCTCCGGCATTCTTCAGCATATTGGAATTTCAACTGTCCGAAAACTTTATTTCGTCCATATATATATATATATTATATTCTATATCCATATATATATATATATATATCTCTCTCAGTTATTTCCCTTTAACTCATCTCTCCCAGTTTATGGTACTACCACTGCTGTATTTGATATTGAACAAATTTATCTGCGTACTAGGTATGACAATTATTACTATATTATTTTAACAAATTATTCTGATTATGGATTTTTTTGGAAACATATCTCATTAACGTGGAACCACCTTAATAAATTTCTAATTACTGGTGTTCCCAGGTCCAACGTTAAACCCAAGTTTAATTTTTTTAATAATCAAATTGATCGGGTCCCAATATGGACGTCATTTTATATAATAATATATGTCATTTGTTTACATTTGATACGACAGAGCAGTTATGAATGTACGAGATTCATGGAAGATTGAAGTTTATAAGCATACAGTAAATTTCGACCTTGCCTACCGAACGCTCCATTTGTGGCCGACATGAGGTTAAGGTAAAAGATTCACGTCAGCGTAAAAGCAGACGGTTCCGTATAGGATGCAGGTTCGAATCCTGTCAAATGGACGAATATTTTTCTATGAAAATTTCTGGGGCATTCAGGCCGGTAAATGTTATTTAATACTGTTTATTATAAACAGAGCATTTACTTAAATACTTGTATCTATAAAAAAAAAAAGTTAAACATAAAAATGTCTTTAACATATATATATATATGGGCTGTAGCGGCTCAGTCATCACTTGGCTTTTTTGATAGTTTTTAAAAGCGTTTACGCGGATTGTAACTGATGAACTACTTTCAACCCTACAACGTCTTCTCCACAGACAAAATGTCGCAAATCTCTCGCTGCTCTATATCTATTTCCATGGTATTTGTTCTGGTGAGATATAACCATAGATACCACCGGCCATGACTTTTATTAGTAGGTATCCGTGATTCAACATAGACATGAGTGGATTAGCGTGAAGTAAGTTCGCCCGCGCCTTCCAAAGAACTGCTTTGTGGAAAAGTCGTCCAACAGGAGTTTTTCCTGTTCACTGTAATCTTGTCCTCTTCAATTTTAGTATTATTCGTTATCATTCCCGCGCAAAATTCCTGAACTTTATTTCTTGGCTTTTCTTATGCTTATGTAACACCACAGAGTAACGGTCTAATTTGATTGGCTCGTGAGTCTTCTATTGTTTTAACCTTAGAATTATCTATCTATCTATCTATCTATCTATCTATCTATCTATTTGAATCTGCTCTTAACTATCTGAATCTGTTCTTATCTATCTATCTATCTATCTATCTATCTATCTATCTATCTATCTATCTATCTCTGGAAATAGTTTATAGCATTAATTTGTCCAACCTGTAGCTGAGATAATAGCGTGCTCATCTCTTTTTATATTGATATTGTCTTTACTTCAACGTATATTTATGGATATTCTTACTGGTTTAGGAAGGACAGAAAGACTGAAATAATATATATATATATATATATATATATATATATATATATATATATATATATATATATATATATATATATATATATTATGAATAACACTAATAATCTTATAAATATAAGCAGTTATACTCGTCCGGCAAAACCTTAGGTGTTTTAGCTTGTAAATCAACAAACCAATACCCAAGGGGGAAAAGGGGGAAAAAAGAAAGAACTAAGAACATATATTTCCGGCGAAAATAATTGTCTAGAATCTATGTTCAGAGTCCAAAGAAAAAAACCTCTGATACGAGTAAGTAAATAACTATATGTAGTTATTTTGCTATATATATATTGAGTATTTAGGCAGGAATCCCTCTTTTGGAAGATAAAATGTGGTTGTGAAATAGAACTTCCTAATAACTCTAGATACATACACACAGCCCATGTAACCAGTTAAATGGTACAAATAAAATGATCCTTGATAATGGTTAAGGATATAGCCTACAGTGCTTCGTCTTGAAAGAACATTTGGGCAGTTTTTACATTCAGTTATCTACCATCGCCTGACGAAGTACAGTCTTAGAACTGAAACATGAAAGTTTTGATGTAGGGATGAAACATGTTTTTAATTGTAATTTATTATAATAAAAATATTGAAATAATATTTTGCTCTAATTTTTACTGTGCACCATTTTAAAAAGTAAATACTACTGCGGATTTTTCTCCACTTTTCCTTTCTCTCATTTGGATATATATACATACATATACATACATACATATATATATATATATATATATATATATATATATATATATATATATGTATGTGCAGATATGTAGAAAAAGAGGAAAAACACGTTAGTCAAGTAATCCAGTGTTCTTTCTTTTTTTAAAAAAAAACAAAAAACAGTGCTCCATACA